TAATTAAAAAGAGAGAAAAACCAATTTCATTTTCTAAACTGGTAGTAATTTGGAAAATAAGTTCAAACCAGAGTGCATCTAGCTTTCAAAAAGAATTGAAAACAATATTTGCTTTAGTTTTTTTTTCTTCCATCAATGTTGGTTATAGAACTCATAGTTACACACAGGAAAGGCAATAGCTCTACCAGTAAATTGCATTCCAGCTTTTGAGACAGTGTTTAGAAACAGTGTTTGATGATTGAGAGGGTGGGTAGGTAAAGAATAGGGAAGAAATGAGCCTGTTTCTCATGAAACAAATGGAATAAATAAACCTTGTTTAATTTCTTATTTCAAAATTGAGGAAATTTTAGTGTATTTAAACACTGGCTAGGATGTACGTCAAAAGATAGGAAACAGAAGATGTCTAGAGGAAAAGAGATTCTGCTCTTGAGTTGGTGAAAGAGGTCAGGAACTGGTTGTATTACTCCCAACAAGAGTTTTCTAATCTATGGTTGGATGTAGAAAGGCATGCAAGAGTTCTTGCTGGTAAGCGAGTAGATGTATTACATGAATATCTTACTTCTTACTGGGACACAATATCCGACATCTGCAACTTAGAGAAAATGTTTATGTTAGCCCACAGTTTGTATAGTTTTTAGCCCATAGTTGCCTGGCTACAGGGAGAGGTGGCATGGCAGTGGGGCATAGCAGAAGAAAAGATGCTGATGATACAGTGGCTGGGAAACACAGAGTGAAGGGAGGAGCTGGGGAAAGAAATAAACCTTTCCATGTCATACCCTCAAAACCCAGCATTTTAGACCAGACCCCATCTCCTAACAGCAAGCCAGCTATAAGCTCCAAAAATCCTGTCACCTCCCAAAAGCCACCTATAGTGCATGAGTCTCCCGAGGTCTATCTAGATATAACATGACGCTCTGCCCCTGGCCACTAAAAGACACACACACACACACACACACACACACGCACGCACGTCTTTATGCGAAGTACATGTAGTCCATCTCTAAGAGTGGCCAAAGTTTCAGTATTACTGAAAAATTGAAGTCCAAAGTCTCCTCTGAGACAAGCAAAACTCTTAGCTATGAGCTTCTATAAAAATCAAAAAGAAAGTTAAACACTGCCAACTTACAATGGCACAGAATAAACATTTCCATCTCAAAAAGGAAGAACAGAGGAATAGAAACTAATAAGAGCAAAAGAAGACTAAAGCCCATTAAGGCAAAGGATCAGTCTTATAGCTCCACGCTGAGCATGCAGGGCAAGATGTGGTGACTCCAAAGGGCTTGCATAGCATTGTTCATGGTTAGATGTCTCATGACAGCTCTTGGGCTGGGTCTGCTCATTCCTTGTGGCTTTCCTCAGACACTCCATATTCCTGTCTTCTCCAGCTTTCCAGGGTCTCCCTGCACCTGTGTCTTCACTCTTCCAGCTTCCTACATACCTGGTGGACTTAAAATACTTTTAAATTCTTTTTAGATTACCAGTATATACATTAAAAGCAAATGTTCTCTATGTATAATTTTCATTTTTAGCAGTCTAGTCTGGTTAATATTAGATGATTGTCATAAAGATAATAAAATCTTATATACTTATTTAAAATGTAAGAGATTGTGTTTTCAAAGAAATCCCAAAACAGTATTGTCTTTAGCCCATAGACCCTGTGACGTTATTTTTTAAATGATTAGAGGAAACAAGAAAAGTCACATATTGGTGAAAGGAGCAGTTCAACAGAAAAATATATTAGTTTAAGTATGTATGCACCATCTATTGGTTTCTTAAAACAAAAACTTCTTGACATAAAGGGTATTTAAACAGCAATACAATTATAGCTGGGGACTATCGCACCACTGTGATAATTAATTGTGATGTCAATTTGAGTGAATTAAAAAATACACCTAGCAGATTAATGGAGTACTGTTTTCTCTGTATCTGTTAATAACTGACATGTAGGCCACAAACTAAGGAGGGAAGATGCAATGTGGATATGGGTGGCACGAAACAGTTGGCTTATAACTTCCCTAGAACAAAAAAAAAACACAAGAAAGAAGTCTTCCCCTTTTCTACTTCAGAGGAGCTCCAGTCTTAGGCGTTTCCTTTGGATATTCCTTTGCAGTTCTTTCAGGCAACTAATGCAGATTCTTGAGCCTCTCAATGCAGATCCTTTGGCTTTCTGACAAGGTCTCTCATCAGATTGCTATCTCTAGGCTTTCATCTTTGGATTGGATCTTTTGAATCTCCAACATACAATACTGAACCTGCTGGAATATCACATAGATAAAACACTTGCAGATATAAACATAGGCAAAGACTTCCTGAACAGAACCTTAATTTGAGAAGAAATAATTCTAACAATCAACAAACAGATTATGTCTAATTTCAAATCTTATGCCAGCAAAGGAAACTGAACATAAAAAAGACAACTTACAGAACAGAAATATTTGTCAGCAGCTACTGACAATAGAGGACTAATATTCAGAATATAAACAGAACTCAAAATCTCAAAAGTAATCACACATATATTGCTCTAAAGTGAGAAGTCTCCTAGTTTTTATAGATCCTTGGTATCGTGGATGTATATCCCACAGAGGCAGGACAGCCCCATTCAAATTTGGTTTATATGTTGAAAATGATATACTCACTTTCATTTGGCCAAACATAGGCCAGGAAAGTATAGAAAACTTGCTATTTACATAAAAAAGGAGCAGTGTGGGCCTCCCACACTGGCCTGAAAATGACTTGAATACAAGATAGAGAAACTCATTTAGGTTTTTTCATTTTGTTCTGTTATTTTGTTTTTGTTTTTTATCCTGGCTAAGGGTTGGTCTGGTCACAAAGTTTCTGCTTGCAAGCAAGAGATTGTGAGTTTGAATATCTTGCTAATGTGAACAAATAAGCACCATTTTTCTATCACACACAAATGTGGGCAGAGGAGGAATGACAGGTAAGGCTTCAAAGCCGTTAACAGGAAACATTACACACTACATTAGATTTTGTTACAATCTTGATGTACATGTTTTTCTCCATGTACGGTCACACTTGTTATTAGCTCAGTAAATCAATCAATCTTTTTATATCTGCTTTAACTAAATTTTTTAATGTGCAGATAAATCAATTGGTCAGCATCTTTATTTCAAACTACTACTGGCATTTTGTGATCTGTATACTAATGCTATGTTAAAAGTTATTTTAGAAAAATATTTTGCTAGATACAATATCCTTGAAAATAATTTAGTTTATAAAATTCATATTATGAGATAGAGAATTTAAATGATGGAGAGTGGGAGGCCAATAATAAAGGTAATAAGAAAATAAGTTGCATAAAATATGGGCCAAGTACGGAGCTTAACATGTAAGTGTTATTAAAATAGCAAAAGACATTGAACACCACTGTAAATAATATGAGTATATAACAGAAAATAACATTATTTCACAGTTTACGGTAGAGTAGGACATCATAACGATTTTTATTTTTGTGGAGTGAACGTGTGATATTCATGAAATAAAAATAGGAGTCAGGACAAAGGTAAGTCTTCCTTTGTACACTTATATGATTCAATTGTACTCAACACAATTTTAGAATCAGAAATCTAGATTCATGATAAGACAAAGTACATCATGAAGTGCCTGATGGATATGAAATTCAGGACACAAGGCTGGAAGAAATGAAAAGGCAGTGGTGTCATGGAAACATATATCAAAAGGTCAGAACCACCTACTAGTGTCAGACAGCTAGGGTACCACTTAGTTCTGTGATTGGTCCTTAAACCTCCTAAATATTAAATATAAAACTTTTAAACATTAAATATGAGTTACAGATATCTTAACACATTTCAATCTATTTATCTGACTGTTCTAACAGATCTATAAAAATCAAGAATAGTATCAGAGAATATAAAGAAATGAGATATGAATACAGGGAAGATTTTGAAAACATGCTAGGAAACAGAAGCCAGACACAAAAGTCTAGTATTATATAATGCAATTTCTATGACATTTTCTAAAAACAATGTGATTAGGGAAAAAAGTATTTGGGTAGTGTTTTGAAAGAGAGAGAGGTTTGGCTGTAATTGAAAATGGGCGCAGGAAATATTTTGAGGTGATGGGAAACACTCTTGTATTGGATTGCAGTGATAGTTCTACTAATATATAAAGGAACTAATGATTAACTATACCCTTAAGTGTGATGGTTAAATTTTATAGCATATAAATTTATCTCAACTGCACTGTTAAAACTTAAGCCATGAGATACCACGGTTTAAGAACCTCCTCCTGTACTTCGCATATTGCCCAGATCCAAGCTGGCGTTTGGACCTTCAGTTACAAGGCATGCAGAACACCATGACAGCTGCCGCTGGACCTCTTCCTTCTCATTCTCACACTTGCATTTCAGATACACAGTGCATTTCTGTCAGTTCTGCGTCTTTGTAGCTGCTCTTAACTCAGGCAGAAGGGTTATTTCTACATGATACACATGAGCTACATTGAGGGAAGAACCTGAAATTTCCATCCCTTTTAATGTTTATTGTTTCCTTTCTTTTTCCTCATAACAAATGCTATCTTAAAAACTACATATTTTATTGATTTAGCCTTTATCTGTTTCACTTAAAATGTATATTCCATAAGTGTAGGTGGTCTAAAAACTATATGTATGATGTATTAAATATACTGCCATGATTTTTGAAAAGCTGTCAGTTTTATTATTTTCATATCTGTTTGCTTTACTGTTGAGTATCTTATTTATATAGTATCCTATAAATTTTAAATTTCTGAATATACATTATCTACTTGAATAATAATTTATTTTACAATCTTTTGATGTAGTATTTGTCTTATTTTATAACGTGTTCCATGTAAATCTTGGTACTTATAAATATTAATTATAGTTCTATTTCTATTTACATATATTCTATGAACAATTCATGAATTTTAAATTTCATTACTAGTAAATTTACTTACACATATTTTTGCAAATTCTGACCTTTTAAAAGCAGGAAGACAAGAGAAGAACAAAGTCACTGGTGTGTTTTTATGGTTTAGAGGTGTGGCATTGGTAGAAGGCTCTAGTGTTTCATTGTGGATTCAGTTGTCTGCGATGGGCTGAATACAGATCATTCCCCTGAATATGGAAGAGCCAAGGAGAGGGGTTGGCCATGTGTTTATCTTATTGTATGATCACTTCTTTATTTTAAAACCCTTAGCTCAGAAACAAAATGAAAAGAGTACTAAGAAAACTCTAAAACTTATTAATGGTGAGTCGAATAAAAGTTTCAGAATATAAAAGATGTTCAGCTATCACACCCTGACACAGCATCTGAAAATTCTAGGGCTGCCAGAAACTTCACCAAGACTTCAGAATGTCACCATAGAAGATGATCCTTCTTTTTAAATCCTTTACAAATATCTCACTGAAATATTTCACATGTAAAAAATTCTTGCATTGACTTCACAAGAAAAGTAAAATAAATCTCTACAGCATAAAAATATGTTAATACAGTGGAACCTTAGTTTATGAACTTAAATTGTTTTACAAATTTAGAGAATATGACTGTGTGTTTGTGTGGGGAAAATGGCCATGGTTGTGTTTGTCACCTGATGTTGAATTTGCTAAAAGAAACAAAATTTTGCCAAATGATTTCTTTGTGAACCAAGCTGCTTGAAAACAGAAATGTTCGTGAACCAAGGTCTGAAATGTGATCAACGTGAGATATTGTACTTCTATTAACACAGTATGCCATACTTTAAATATGTGGTAAATATGCATGTATAAATGAATATGTTCATATATCCATATTCACAGAGCACATGCATAAACATCCATTTATATATTTCCTGTAATGTATGCATATGCATTACATAGCATATACCTGTATATGTATATGTGGAAGAATATATATTTTGCTCTTATATTATTTTAAATTGGTTTTTAATATTGAGTCATATTTTTCAATTTACTCCTATTGTGAATTAGATAAGTAATTTTTAAGCTTATTAGAAAAATACTATATTTTCCTGAGCATAATTAACACTCCGTTTCATTTTTTATTTAACACTCTACTTTAAATAACTATTCCCTGCATGGTTATGATGATTTTATAAATTACTTTTCTTTTACAAGTATCAACCATTCATATTTAATTTTCAATAAAGTACTAACCTTATTCCTCTTGTTGTTTGCTTTATTGCACTGTCAGCCACCTTATGTAAAAAATATTTTAAACAGATTGTATTCTATTCGGTGTGTTTTCAACAGATGTCTAGTTAATTGAAATTTCTAATAGTTGAGCCAATTTTGTTAATTTCCTAGAAATATAGAAAGATTATAATCATACATTTTTTTCTGCTTGAGAAAAGCATGGCTTCGTATAAAAATGTTATACATGGATTCTCCCTCAGTTGAACACATTATTTACTTGTTGATATGTTTATATTCTATTACAACATTTCGTTGAGTTGCCTAAGATTCACATAGGAAAAACATGATACAGGTTTAGTGGATCATCCAAAATTATAAAAGAGGAAAATAGACAAAACTCAAATAATTATATAAGAACATAAAAGAGCAAAAATGGATCAAGGTTAATATATATGGATTTTCTAATATGCACTGATAGTGAAAGTTGAAAAAAATCTTTCTTTTTGCTTTAACTTGAGTGTAGATATAGAAACCCTTTACATCAAAACTTCACAGTTTTCTCATGTATTTGTACAGAAACAGAGTTTAATAGGTTTTTGTTGTATTATGACAAAAATAAAATTAAATGAATCCAATTCATAAATGAAGATATATTTATGATTTTAGAATTTATATTTGAATTTCCAGGTAAAATTTCCATCAAAATCCAAATGTGTGTTTTCAATTTCACTTTCCTTTCTTCACATGATTTTTAGTCTTACATTTAGAACCCTCCAATAGCTTTCTGTTTTACTGTTACAGACTGAATATTTGTGTCCTCCTTCTCTCAAATTCATTGGTTCAAACTACCTGATTCTTTTTTAGGAATGGAGACCCTTAGGAAAAAGTAGGATTAACGAGGTCATGAAAACAGAGTCTTCATGAATGGGATTTGTGCCCTCTTAAAAATCCCAAGAGGTTTGCTTATCTCTCCTATGTATTATGTGAAGATAGAAGAGCTGGGCAGTCTGAAAACCAGAAGAGATCCCTCTGAGGAACTTCATCAGGCTAACACTCCAATCTCAGACATTCCAGCATGAGAACTTCATGAAAATTAAATTTAGGCTTTTATAAGCCACCCAATCTTTCATACATATTGTTTTAGCAACCTGAATAAGGACACACACAAAGTAAAGAAGGATAATAACCACATATTTTCTTAGTTTTCTATTATTAACAATATCCTTGAGATAACTTATATAGAAGAAAGTTGTATTTGAGCTCACAGTTTTAGAGATTTCAATCCATGGTTGGTAGGCCTGGTTTCTTTCGGATTTTTAGCAAGGCAGAAAATCGGGATTGGGGAGAACATGAAGAAAGTAATCTGCTCATCTTATGGTTGGAAAATAAACACAAAAAAGAAATAAGGGACAGCAATCCCACTATCCATTCAAGGCAGATCCCGTGGCCCTACAACTTCACATTAGGCCCCACCCCTCGAAGTTTCTACCATCTCTCAATAACAGCAAGCTGAGAAATAACCCTTTATCACAGGTATCCTTTGGAGTTATTCAATATCAAAATTCTAGGATGTTGCATGATATTTTCTTTACAAAAGTCATGCTAAATTTCCTTTCAACACTATATCCAGTGTTTATAGCAATGTGACTTTTCAGGGTCTACCATTAAAAAGTAAAACCTTTTTTCCATCCTTTGAACCTGGATTGGTCTTGTTACTTCCTTTAGCTTATAAGTAGAATCTTTCTGAAGTAAAAGTGTGAAACATTTCATTCCACACCTCCATATGTCTTGCAGCATCTACACATCATACTTGTTAGCCAACTATGTGTCTCATGAGGAAAAACTAACCTAAAGTTATAGAAAAATAAGATCACTTGTAGAAGAGCCTGTTTGTCTCAAAGAAGGACATACTAGATGAGTGTAGCAGGCAAGCCTCAATTCTGTGAAACACATATAAACAAATTTGACATATTTGCTTATCTGATCCACAGGCAATTTAGACATGAGTCTAGTAACACCTGACAGCCCAGATAACACAAAATCATGAAAAATAAAAAGTTATTCTTTTAAAGTTCATGATAGAGATTTCTTTTATGTTTACTGTCCTTTCCTGGATCTATTGCCCAGCTCAGTGATTATAGTTAATAATAACATATTGTGTATTTCAAAATTCCAGAGAGTAAATCTCAAATGTCAAATATCAAATAGTTACAAACAATAATGAATACATGAGGTGATGGATAACTTTCTTTAATCATTTCTCATTGTAGAGTCAGCCCTCTGTACCAGTGAATCTTGTATCAATGAATTCAATTAATCAATGGATTAAAAATATTTGAAAAAATAATTGCACATGTACTGAATTAATAAAGTATTTTCCTTGTCATTCTTCCTTAAATAATACAGTAGAAAATTTATTCACAAAGTATCTACAATTTATTATTAAAGTAATTTAGAGATGGTTTAAGGTGTAGGAGAATGCATTAGGTAACTTTCTACTACTGTAAAAAAATACCTGAGGTAACCAATACACAAAAAGGTAAAGTTTGTTAAGATTCAATATTTTGGAGGTTTGAGTTCATTCAATTTGCCACACTGCTTAAAGATTTCCATTACCTTCCATTAGCAAAAAATCAAAGACCAAATATTTAGCACATGGCCTTTGGGATCCATTCAAGATCCAAACTGTATCAAGGGAGATGTGGTTAGGTTATATGCAGAAACAATGCATTTATATTAAACGTGTGAGCTTCTGCAGGTTTTGGTATCTGGAGCTCCTGTAACTAATTAATGTCTTGCAGTTCCCAAGAAAGAGGTTGGATACAAACATCAAAACATCATATTGTGCCCCACAAATATAAGCAGTTATGAGTTTTTGATTAAAATATTATTCATTTTAAAATCTCTTACAATTGCTAAAGGCTAAAGAACTCATTAAATATATTATGAATCATTTAAAAAATTTATTTCCTTTTATTATGCTGCTGGGGATTAAAACATTTTGCTGGAGCATGCTGACCACATGCTCTAAAAATGAGCTACACCCTAATCCCCTTTTACTCTAATTGCAATATTCTTCAGTACAATGCAGCTTTTAAATTCTTGTGATGGTATTTTTACTGAGCTTTTAAAAATATAGTTTGAATATTCATACTGTTCTAATTGACAGGAAAAAGAATGCTGGGTATACATTATAGAACCTCTAATGCACACCTGAATGGCAAGAAAATTAAAATTTCATGATGCAACTTTTTGTTTATAATACAGAATTAAGACTTCATTAGCTGCTGAAATAAATACTCATGAAGACATCCCAAAGATTAAAATGATAGAAAAATTTAAATGAACATATTTGTTCTATATCCTTGCAATACTTTTTCCAATTACATTCCTAAAATGAATTCTTAAACAAATATCCAAAGGACTATTTAGTAGAATGTTAGCCATTGTTTTGTTGATTGTGTGGTTGTAGAGGCAAGAGAAACATTCATCAGTGTGTTAGTGAATCAGTACCACTTGTGGATGTACACCACTGAATGCCACAACAATCAGGTACAACATATCAGTGGTATGTGTACAGTTAATAATGTAAGTAAAACTTAAAATATAGCCCTTGATACCTTTTTTAGAGGTTCTAGCAGAGGAAAGCAGCTACTTGCATATCCTTGAGTGAAGAATGGTCCTCCTCTATCGGGAAGTCTCCTTCTTCACCAAGTGCAGCTTCAGGAGAGACGCACATGAAGCAGAGGAGGAAGCCTGACCAGCCAGCCAGAGCAACACTGATGATCAATGGAGGGACAGATGTAACAGCCAGATCTCCCACAAATCTCAAATTATGAGTACCAATGAAAACTGTGCAAAAAGTTGTAGATGTGTATATCACATCAGCATTTTATTTGGGGAGTTAAAATATGTAACAAAATATACATTTTACAAGAATGCATACACCTAAAATATTTTTATCAAGTGTAAGAGAATATTATTGTTGTATAATAGGGGAAATGGAAATGGTGAATTGAAGTGCATAAAATGGAATGAGTGAATAGATGTACAATTGACTTTGTGAAGATCAGAGTTAATGATGAATTGTCAGTATCTAAGGTTTAAAACAAATGAAAAAGTATTTTTAAAATATACTAGCTAACTTGAAATAGGAAGAAGGGATCCAAGGGGGAAGGGTAAGTAGGAGGGGTAGGGGAAAGGGAAGAAAGAAAAGGAATAAATGTGAGAAATGGAAACAAAGTCTTTGTAAATAGGGAGGGTTGGAGGGGTTGAAGGGAGGGCAGGGGAGTGGGGAAAAAATAAGAACCAAGATTTATCATGTACAGGTGTAAATTCCCAGTGATGAATGTCACCATATTGTATATCTAAGATGTACCAATAAACTTAAAGAATTTTAAAAAACACACCTAAAAGTAGTAATACAAGAATAATTTATTTATATATATATATAATTTTGCAATACATTTTGGTATTTAATGTGAGTTAAGCTAAGACACCATGTTTTGCAAGAAAAATTTATTCTGTGATTCTTTGGCACTATAATGTTAAGAGGTTTTACATTATTAAAATTTGTGTTTTATCTCAAGTATGCAGTGAGTGTTGAAGGAGAAAAACAGTACACTTGCACACTCAAATATTTCAGAAGTCCTTATTGGACTATCAATATTTTTTATTTTATATCAAATACTTTTTCTCTCTCTACTAATTTATTCCACTATGTATTTTCCTGGATGTTTGTGTTCCATGACTATATTTATGAGATTTAAATTATTTAATTATCTTTTATAGTTAAAGTATTATAGTTGTAAATGTTCACTTGATTCTATTTGTATTTTCTGTCTGTATTAAAGTATTGCTTTTTTCCATGTTCCTCACCAAAAAACATACTGTCCATAGCCAAAGTTGTAAATGTTCACTTGATTCTATTTGTATTTTCTGTCTTTTTTAAAGTATTACTTTTTTCCATGTTCATCACTCAAAACCCTACTGTCCATACCCGAAGTATTTTCTTTGAGTCTCTAACCAGTTGCTTTCCATATAATTGATCCTTACTCTCTTTTAGAAACAGTTTCTGATTTTACTTCTAAGTCATAAGGTAATTCTAGTTCTATGTTAGTTCTCCTTCAATGAATTCCCCTAGTCTTATCTACCTCTAGGTATGAGAATGCATAGAATCCAGTTCTGAGCCTCTCCTAATCTATTTTGGACATATGCCTTTACATTTTTGCTTAGAAATTTATATTTTTAGTTTTTATTGGTGCCTTTTTAGTACATCATGATTACATTTATCATGGGGAAGCTTGTACATGTACATAATAATAGATCTTAAGCACAAGCTCTGAAGCAAGCATTTGCTACTTTTACCACCCATTTCTTCTACATCTGAGTTGTGATATCAGCAATAGTCGAGTTTCATAATATTTTTGTTTGATATCTCTTGTCCTGCATCTTGCAGATCAACAAATCTAGACACTTCTACCTCCAAATGATATCTCAAATGCATTCATTTATCTTCATCTTTACTTGTATTACCAAAACGTCATTATCATTTGTAGCCTGCACTATTATCTCATTGGTTCCTCTTTCTAACTCTGATTCATCACACTTACTATAGGTTACTTCTCTCTTAAAATATTTACTATATTTTCCATTGTCTTATAACACCAATATTAAGACACTACACATTCTGGGTCCTTGCTTTCCTTCAGCCTAATCTTCCACACTATTTCCTGTTTTGTTATGCTTCAGTTACACTATCCTCCTGTCACTTCCATCAAATTTATTTTGTTGCCTGAAAGATTTTATAATCTGCATGGTGGATTCCCTCTGCAATTCTTCATCACTGGCTGCTTCTCAGTCTATCTCAAATTGTCTATGATGGGTACATAGAAGATATCTCTAGCTATCCTTTTTAAATGTAACTCTTCTGTACTCTATATACTTAGCAATTTCTAATTAGTGGATTTATGTAATTGTGTAATGTTTGGCTATTTTTGACTGTGTATTGTTTAAATGGTGACAAAGTTTGTTCATTGTCCACTTTATGTGGTATTTAAAACTAAAAACTCCATGTAGATTTTCTTTTAATGTACATTGAGAGAATGGATGAAATCCCTTTCCTTCTGTATATATAAGCTATTAATCATCTGCTATTCTAAAGTAATTGTTCCTAACAATTACTTTTTAAAAAGCAATGGATTTTAACAGTTTATTACAGATAATCTAAATTTGTATTGTAGAAATCTATTTTATTGTAGATATCTTATAATCTCATGCTGACCCATGCATTTTAAAAATAAATATTACCTACTAAGTTTATGTTGATTGTTTAATTTCAGTGATAATTGATCATAAAGTTATTAGGAGCATAAACTAATCACTATTGTTTATTAATTTTTATATATGTTTGATAAATATTTCACATATCTATTAGTGTGTAATAAAGTACTCCAAACTGAATGACTTCAAACAATCTATTATTACTATATATATGATTGTGGGTTAGGTACTTAAACAGGCACATTAGTCTTCATATGTCTCCCTGTCAGAATTCTGGATC